CCTCATTCCGGCCCCGCGTCTGGGGGGCTGCTGCACCCAGCGGTGGGTATGGCCCCGGTGCCCTTTGCATTGCATTGCCCACGGGGCCCTGCAGAGGAAAGCGGAGGGCACGAGAGTCCGTGCGCCCCGGACATATCCAGGGCTCGGCCTTTCCGAGCCTCCCTGCCGGTCCACCTCTCTCATTCCCAAACCCTCGTTCATGCCAGTTCACTTTTTGAAGTCCATTTGTGTTGCATTCACTAAATTACTGTCGTTCCACTGGAAGGTATTTAGTGAATGCGGGGACCCTAACTGATCTTTGTGCAACTTGGGGAAACCGGTGGATGGGAAATACAGCGAGGGAGCAAGTTTTTTTCTTGGTTGGTGGAGCCTGAACGCGAATGCGGGAGGGTGTAATGATAATACTGGTAATGTGTTTCCTCAAATTGCCTAGTGGGTTTATTCATTGCTGTTGGAATTATAGGTGGGGGAGGGAAACTTCGAGGATATAAACCTTTGGTTTGTAATTTCTCAAAATGCTTGTCATTATAATGAACAATTAATATAATATAATGTTCAATACATTGTTGATTGGAAATCAGTGACAGCAGAATGCTGGTCTTAGCAGGAAAATAAAAAGGAATTGGAAAGCTGCCAGCATCTGCATCCCTCTATGGCAAAAGATTTGTGCTCATCTCAAAGTTAAAAGAAAAGGGAATTGCCCATTGTGTTAAATGAATCAATTAACATTCCATGATCATGAGTTCTGCACTCAAGTTATCTTAGGAGCGTTCTTAGCCCTCAGGTGGGATACTCCTAGTCAGAGTTCCACTGAGCTTCTGTAGACTCAGAAGGGGTGCAGATGAGGGTCAGGACCTTTGAGCATGTTCATTTCATGACTCTTCCTTCAAGTCCATTCTCCATCCACCCCGCTCACTTGAAACTATAGATTTGAGACTTTAGATATTTTAGAAATGTACATATAAAACATAAATCAAAATAAACAGTACAGTATTGTGTAAGCCTTTTTGGCTGTTAACCTATCCAGGCCATTTCATTGTTGCAATAACTTTCTTTACTGTGTCTTTAGTTCTTACCTGCTTTGTAAGCAGAAAACTTTGTTTTTGCAATTTAATGGAAGAAATACACCTTAGTGCTTATGTATTCATTGGGTATATATGTGTGTGTTTGTGTATGTTTGTGACCCCCCTCCCCCCCAGCTCCGCATTGGAATGAAACTGCAGAAAAAATTTTGGGAGTCCTGGCAGATGAAGACAACACATTGCAACAGAATAGCAGCAGTAATATCAGTTACAGCAATGCAATGCAGAAAGAAATCACCCTGCCTTCAAGACTCATATATTACATCAACCAAGACTCGGAAAGCCCTTATCATGTTCTTGACACAAAGGCGAGACACCAGCAAAAACATAACAAGGTAGGCAGGGGGCTGGGTATGGAAAAGTAGCTGCCATGAAGAGTTTTCCTTTGATTTGATTTTCTGTCAGAATCTGATTTCACAAGTTTTACTGAAGCATTTTATTAGGAAACCAATTAATATTGTGATAGGGGAGAAACTGGAGGGAATTAACCTGGAATCTACTGAAATAGGATTGCTGTTGTTCTATCCTCTGACTCTAAACTGAGATTGGAATTTTCTTATGGCTTTGTAAGTTTAACAGCTAAAGTGTGGTCCATTTTTCTTTTAGGCGCATTAAACACTGCACAGTAGTTAAGTAAATATGTTTATGGTCCTGACTTTTATCTGTGAGGCTTTATGTAAGGGTGCAGTAGACTACCTCCCATGATGAAAACTGCTTTCAGTCTGTCCCCAGAGATTGCTCTAAGAAGCTGTTGGGCTGCAGATTCCCCATCAGTCTTTCACCTAGAAATTGAGTATTTAAGTTTAAAACAACCTCTTTCCTTCTTTAATTGGTCAGTAGGAAAAAAAATATTGTTCCTATAGTAGGTAAACAATGTAACATTTTAAAGGATTATGATGACTAAAAACAAACTGTTTATATAATATAGAGACCAGTTTTGGTCAGCACAGTCCTTCCAGACTTTGTCTACATTCACTGGGGACAGGTGATGTACTTTCAGATCAGTTCAGAAAGTGTCACTGATTTTTCAAAAGGCATTCAATTGAGGATGAAGGTGCTTAATAACCAGAGTTTAAGGGATCTTTTTTATTGCTTACTAGTCATTATTTAAGTTAATACTATTTTGGACCCCAAGCAGATTTCCACAATGGGTTACCAGTGCCTCTCCTCTTTATTAGGAGCAGAAAATACAGTCTGTATGTCAAATATTTTACTTTGGGCTTGTCAGGGAGGAAGAAAACCTTCCTTTACCCTTCTGGGTTCTTCTGGCTGCTCCAAGAATTAAATTGACATGAGACAGATTAGCAGGAGAAAATTAAATTTAGTTTTGTATATATACATGAGAGGGTTCGAGGCCCCATATATATGGGAGGTTCAGAGACAGAAAAGTAAAATGAGGTATATATACCACCGTGAGCTAAGGAATGGCATAGAGGCCTGGGGCTTCCAAGGACAGCAGGGTCATTCATAAGATGATAAAAAGAGCAGATGTTTGGTAGTTAGATGTTTGCCCTGTTACAGAGATGGGGCCACTTAGATAAAATTTATCTCTGGTAATAACTCTCAATTTAAATTATTCTAGGTAGTTAAGGGAGGGGCAGTAGTTTCTTTTGAACCTGCAGTGTTTAGATTGTGTCTTTAGCTTAAAATAATCCTCGTGCAAAAGTGACACATTTTGGGGAAGCTCGTTCTGAACCCTACAGATCATACCTGTTCAGTTGAGATGAGCAGTCCTTGTCTAAACATCTAGAATTGAAGAAGAGTATCTCTGGTTTGCATCATTGTGTTTTATTAGTTTTCTAAAATATAGGCAAGTGGTAACAGTACTTATTCCCACTTCAGAGTAAATGGGGACAAATGGGGAGTTAGACATTTAAGGCCTTTAGGTGATCCCAAGGTTGTGAAACAGCTGATAAAAAATTCAAGAGGCCATAATATTTACAAGTCAGGTTTCTGAGAAAATACTTCCTTCATATTGGATATTACTAGAAAAGTTAACGTCACATCTATTGTGAAGTATTGCATTGTGAAGTGGCTACCCCCCGCTTTGGCTGGGGTCTCTGTTCTCACAGTCCTTTTCCCATCTTCTTCAGTGTAACTTAACAGGTTGACTCCTGGGTCATGTGTTCTCATTTGTCTCGTTGATAGGAGTGGACAGTGTCTTTAAGGAAGAAGAATCCAAGATCCTCTTGATAAAAGCATTGAGGCTCATTTTATGGTTTTCATACTAATTAATATGATCTGTGCTTAAGTGACAAATTCTCAAACTCCAGTGTCTTTGCATAGGGTGGTGGAGGAAGAAAAAAATGACCTCAAAGCCTATAAAGAATGCTCAAACCCTCCTGAGCTGAGACTTCAGCGGAACACTTTGAATAACGCAGGTGTTGGTGACTGTGGCTAACTCTAGTCTTCTAGTCTAATCTTATGTGGTTGCTTTCTTTGTTGGGACTTGGTTTGACTACAATATATCTGAATTTTTGTAATAATAAGATTGTTAAAACTTCACCCACTACTCATGTAGAGGAATAGATTTCCGACTACAGAGCACATACTTGCTGTTGGAATGATATTACGTCTCCACTTCCATTTCTTTTACCTTAAAAAATGTTTACATGGAAATTATGTTTGAAAGCATTTTCCCTCTTTCCTTATTTGTTTGATTGAACAAGCATTTGTTGCACATATCTCATGTGCAAAGTACTATGCTAAAGATTCAGAGGTAAGAGATAAGGGGTACAAGGATGAACAAGACAAGGTCTGTCCTCCAGGAGTTAACAAAAATGAGATAAGCAAGATGCTTAAAAGCGCCCTCATACAGATGTAAATAGTGTTCTTCCTTCTGGTGGGTTCCCTGAAATTTTCCTATGTGTTCTGTGATTTCTCTTGCACTTCTGTCTGGAAGCATCTCTTGAACTAGTTGACAAAAAACAAAACAAAAAACAAAAAACAAAAAACAAAAAAAATTAGTTCCCTCTGCTTTCTGTTGTATCTTTGGATGACTTACCTAAGAATAGTGATGAGAGATACTTGTTCATTCAGCTGCCTTACAAATGTTTCAGTGAGAGAGAACATACAGGATTTCATTATTTTTGCTTTTATAAAAAACATTTTGATTTTAATAATCTGTGTATTGCATACCATTTTTTAACCTCCTCTGATCTCATGGCACTCAAGCACATTTTAATGAATGCCTTAGAAATGCTGACTCACTGTGCCAATCTCCTGGATCCCTTGACTGGGGGGTAGAGGTGAAGAGGGAAATTCCCAGATATAGGTTGCCAGACAGAACTCCATTTATTTCATAAACATTCAGAGTTGATCAGGCCTTACTACTTTATAGTTGTGAAAGTTAAAATGATTATTAACTCTTTCCAAATTGGTGAGTTTAAAAGCTGGCTGTGTAAAGCACCACTGTTAATACTGGTGTTTCTGAAAACCTTAAAGTTTTCTTTATCAAAGATTGTTTGGGAATCTTTTTACCTCCAGATAGAGTGATGTATAAATTATTGTCCAAACTGCACCATTTTTGAGACTGAAAGTGGGCATGCTTAATAATTATGCCAGGATTATAGATGTTAACCAAGTTGGTCCAGAGCAGACTGGGAACATGGTCACCTCAGATCTAGACAGTTACATTCCTTGATTTTTGGCACTTGTCCAAATTCAAGTTTCTTTATAGACAGTTTTATTTTCTGATGATTTATTGTAACTTTTTCTTATTTGCCAGGAGGTTAGTTTACCCCCATATAGAAGTAGTAGAGTCTGAAAAGGAAAAAATTTAGTCTTTGCTTTGTTATTAAGACTTATCTTCTTCACTTGTAGAGACTTTTACGAGCATAAAAAGAATTTTATGATTACTAAACATAAGCATTTTATTAACCATTAATTCAATATATTGATAAAATGGACCATATGTTTATAAAGAGGGAGAAACAATTTAGATCTTTTCATTCATTCATTCATTCATTCATTCATTCATTCATTCATTCATAGATAATCCTATGAGGTCTGTTCCTGAGAAAGTTAACCTGTAGAGGAAGAAAAAAATTTTTCCTCTACCTTTCAGGGTTCTGGGCTGAGACACAGACTGTAATAAAACACAGGTTAACAGGAGAACAATAGAAGTTTAATAACATGTATGCCTCCTGTGTACATGGGAGAGACCCAGGAAAACTGAGGAGCTTTGAAATGGCCCAGCCATCAGCTTAAATAACCTGTCCAGCTAAAGATGAGACGTGGCAGGGTGTGGAGCCAGTTATGGGAGGCTCTCAAGAAAAGCACAGTAAATAAGGGTAAGGTTGTTAAGCAGATTTAAATCATAGCCTTTCGCATTGATGAAGTGTTTCTGGAGATTTAGAGTCGTCCTCCTCTTCCTGGTACAGAGAGGGAAATACTTACAAATGGAGATTTCTTACAAATATAAATGTCTCTTACAAAAGAGTAACTTCTGCTTGGTTTACAGAGCTTCTACTGTGTCTGCTGTTTCTTAAAAATAACCAGCCTGAAATAATCCTTATGCCAAAGAGGCATATTTTGGGATGGTATATTCTGTTCCCCTTCAAACCTTTTCCTGAAACTTTCCTTTAGTCAAAATTTACTTGCCTTGTATTGTACTTTTTTAGGATTCTTTTTCTCTTGCAGTTGAGAAGGGATGGAAGAGGTACACTGTGTACAGCACAGGGTTTGAGGGAAGATGAAAGTCATCTCCTTTGACTTTAGATATGGCTCAGTCTTTTGTCACCTTCCCTACTGTGTTAGAGACTCAGAGCTAGTGTATTAAGAACATGCAGATTATGACCTGCTGAATGAGGGGGCACAAGCCATCCACACGAGTCGGCATGTAGGTCCCTCAGCATCCAAGCTCCCACTTTGGAGAAGTGAAATCCACCGGGTCATTTTGATTGAAGGCACTGTTCAGTACACCCACACACAAGAAGTAGAGTCACAAGATTTATTACTTGCAGATCCCAGAAAGGGGGGCAGTGGGTGAGGTGAGGAGAGCTGTCCTCCACCCCAGATCACCTGTGAGCAGGAGACAGAGAGGGTAGCAAGTACCTGTTACTTAGAAGGTAGTTGGGGCGGAGGTCACTAACTTTCCATGGACTTAACTCTAAGTGATTATTTGAAAAGGTGCCTGGGAAAAGCAAAGCGGGAACTTATGATGGAACTCCTAAAGTCAAGTTCTTGTCTAAATGACCAGACTCTGGGCGTGAGCAGAGTTTCCATACTGTAAAATGCCTCGGCAGCAAATCTAGAAAAACAAAGTCGCTTTTCTCATCACATCTATTCCCACCACTCCCGGTTGAAGAGAGAGAAGAGAGGTTTTCTCTTCCTT